CTGGTCCTCACCTTACAGTGTGCTCTTACACCACTGCCCCCATATCCACATCGCCTGCTGGTCTGCTCCTTACAGTGTGCTCTTACACCACTGCCCCAGGTCCACATCGCCTGCTGGTCCTCACCTTACAGTGTGCTCTTACACCACTGCCCCAGATCCACATCACCTGCTGGTCCTCACCTTACAGTGTGCTTTTACACCACTGCCCCACGTCCACATCACCCGCTGGTCCGCACCTTACAGTGTGCTTTTACACCACTGCCCCACGTCCACATCACCTGCTGGTCTGCACCTTACAATGTGCTCTTACACAGCACTGTAATGACACTGTTATTTTGAAAGTCAACAATGGGCTCCTCGTTACTGAACTGAATGTTTTTTTCTTGATCTGTGTCCCTTTCCCTTTTCTCTGCAACATTTTTACCATTCAGCAGCCTTTCCTAGACAGTGCCTCCTCCCTTGAAGATGCCATAACTCTGAGTACAGTTGCATAACTCTTACTTAAAAAGTTTCTACTAAGTATATGCTCTCTCAATTCTGTCCTCAGAATGCTCTGGTTCTTCTTTAGGTCACTAATCCTTAAGAGTTTTTATTTAATTCTAGTGTCATTTATTACATCTCTGATCCAAAATTTTAAAACTGTACTTTATACTCTAAAACTGCTTACTTGACATTTCAACCTAGATAAAGGATTTATCATAATTGTCACCTTTTTCCTCCTGGAGCAATTTTGGTTAATGGTCCAGCCTTTCTAGTTGGATATGCCAGAAAATCTGAGCACTGCTGCCACTGCTTCCTAGAGCATCCAGGAAGTTCTTTCTGTACTTGATAATCCTCTCAGCCCTTTAGGAGTTTCCTCCTGTGGGTATGAACTTTTGTGATTCTTCCTTTCCGTCTTCATGATGGTGCTAGCCACACTCTGCAGTCCTTTATGTCTGTAGCTGCTATAAGCCTTGGGGCGGGGGAGGAAGCTTGGCCTGCTTCTCCTCTTCCCAGTCTTTTGCTCATGCCTAATTAGAGGCTCAGTTCTTCTAAGTGCAAATGGTCTATTGTAGGCATTAGTAGTAATCTCTTCTATCTTGCAGTCTGAAGTGTGTTTTAAAGGTATTTATTTTCTATAGTTAAGGCTGACTGATGAGTGAATATACTCAGAAGCCATTTGGTGGTTTAGATACGTAGAAGCTGGCTACGTAGATATTTAGTTCCTATGCTCAATATCTATGTCTTCTCCATTTCAGAGTAACTTGCTGGAAAGGAGCTGGTTTGTTAGTAATTCTGCCATCAACCCATGGACTTACAGTTGCCAGATGAGTTAATTTTCATATGCCATAAGCTATCCTGTCCACAAAAAAAGTAAACTAAGGCAAGATCCATAAATATATTTGCTGCTATTTTCTATATGTGTATCTGTGTATACACAGAGTTATGAATTGGAAACTCAACAACGGCCTAACGTGGCTTTTTTTCATAGGGTCATAGTTCACTAGAGTATATGTGAAAAAGTGACTGGAGTCTGTTTGTACATCATAAATTCATATATAGAAATTGTTTGTAGGTCGTAAGTTAATGCGGGCCTGCAAATGCAACTGAGAAAGAGCCACACATTTCCAATCAGTATGTGCCACAATCTTTCACATTAGCCCTCCTCAGGGAATTATTAAAGTGTTAGTTGGGCTAGTTTTATTTTGTTTTTAGTTTTTGTTTGAATGATTTATTTCCTCTTTCCCTCTCTTACCATGTTTTTCTCCAACACAAGCTCAATATATAACAGTAATTTTGGCATCTGTTCTTCACACGTATCTTTAACGCTGCAGTTACAGTGCAAGGATGATAACTTTATTTTAAATCAAATTGGCTTTGTTCCCAGTCCTCATTGTTGGAGACTTTATTCTGCTAGGGTGGCTCATTGGTGATGTTGATGAAACTGTTCAGTTTGCCAGCTGGGATATTGATAGCAGGTGTAGGCTTCATTGCTAGAAAGAAGATTGGATACTTCACTCCCTTTATGGGGATTGAAATTGGTTATTGCTCCCAAGTGGTACCTAGTCTTAATCTGCTTGTTGTTTTATTACCTCATTAGTTGACATACCGTATACTATTTAGTTTATTGTCATTAGTATTATTAGTGCCATACTCCGTACAGACAATGTGATAATTAAGTTCCTTTCCTGATAATGCTGAGTAAACCATATTCTCATCTTAACCCAATGGTGTGATTGTGAGGTTAGCTGAATCTATCTCACTGTGCAGTCTACCACTGGAGAAGGAATTCGGAGTTCTCTACTATATTGTTGGTTACTTGCCAACAGAGATATTAATCTGTACTTCTCACATCCTACCCCAAGTAGGTAAAACCAACCAGCGGTGGCTGCTACCATCCTCCAGGTTGTGAGCCTATAGGGAATGCTATAGGCAGGAATGAACACCAGTACATATATTTTCATTTTTTAAAAGTGTTTATAAAACCAAACTATATTAAAATGGGTGAGAATTATATAGACCAGAAGTGTTAAGGCCAGGTTTGCTGTTGGTATTTTAGTCCTTCAGGCTCTGGTCATTGTTACCCATCGTAGCATAAATTCTTTACAGTAATGATGTGGCATTCAGACTCTGGTGAAAATACTTCAGGTTCATAAAGCTGAATGTTGTTTTAAAATGCCTCTCTCATTTCGGTCTCCCCTTCCTCGGCTGACTCTCTCTCTCTCTCTGCACCATCACTCTTGCCATGGTCCTTGCAGGCTGCTGCCATCTGGCCTCTGATCACCTGGTCCAGCACCTTGGTGATGAATGTGTGTGTCATGGTCAACACAGACTCAGAGGTGATGGTGCCAGTAAATATATTTTCATCAGTGACAAGAGTTGTATGATAAGGGTAACTTTGCTTAAGCTCCCCCAAAGGAAAAATTCTCTAGGATTAAGAAGATTGGTTGAAACATCACTGGACAGTTAACCTTAACTTTGAGTATGAAAAATGCCTAAAAGTAAACGCCCACAGTTGGGAGGAGAACACAGTGCCAGTACGTAGGGCAGTATGTACCCTAATGAGGCAAAGTGAGGGAAAGCTGACCGCTTGGCGTTCCTGACCTTAGTGTACGCTGCAGAAGTCGAGGTTTAGCTGAGAAGCTTAAATAATGGCAAGAATTACAGAGGAAAGATCATAAAAGCTAAAATAAGAACTGTAGTGACTATAATGGGAAAGTTTGAATACTTGGCTTCAAATCTAGCTTAGGCATTCACTGTGACCTTTATTTTTAAAAAAAAAAATTTTTCTGGGACTGTAAAACAGAAATCATATCTAATAATTTTAAGAATGAAATATGATGTAAAAAATCTGCTGAAAACCAAAATGTTATTATTGTATAAAATAGAAGGAATCATTGCTTAGTTACGTTTTCAGAGTAG